CAACCCACCCTCAAAGTCCAGATGCGCTATATTTACTAAGTCTCGCGCAAATCGACTTCCGGCATGACGAATCGACAGCAAGAGAGACGACTAGTGTCGATTCCATCAAAGAGGGTCCTCGAATCGACATCCGGTTGGTCGAATCGTCAACTTAAAACACGAATCGACTCTAGTTGGGTGTATTGGACAAGGAGAACACAAGCCTGGAATGAATGGGAATGTCGGCTCCACGGTAAACAGCATGCCGAAACCACTGGCCACAACATACACCCTAATTATGCGAGCATTTTGGAAACAGGTTTGAAAAACAAGGACAAAAGGAGTCACTATATTCATTCCTGGAGAAGAACTCTGCTAGTGAAAGAGCACCCTTCCCAAGGGAGTTTGCATCACAACTATGACATCTCAGCTACATATTTGCATTCTGTGACTATTGCAGAGTACATTTCTCTGAAAGAGACCGCAGAAGGTGGTTGAAAGTTCAGTTTTTTAGATCTGTTTTTCAGTTTTTTAGAACATGTTTTAGATCTGTTTTAAACTTGTTTTTAGAATTTTATATTAATTCATGAAACTTGAATGTATGATGTATAATAGATACTGTTGTAAATAGGCCATATAAACTTTCCCAGTTTGATTTTTGAACATTTCCTTTGTTTCTTTCTTTTTCAGGGAACCCTCGCTGAAAGGATCAGGGCAGGAGGAGCAGGAATCCCGGCCTTCTACACCCCTACTGGATATGGGACCTTGGTTCATCATGGTGGGTCACCCATTAAATACAATAAGGATGGTAGCATACAAATTACGAGTCAACCAAGAGAGGTACTTATTATAACAGTACTCAGACAATGTAACTAGTAAATAGATAATAACTGATGTCATGCCGTATTCTAGGAATTTATTCAATTTATAAAATAATGTATTGCATGTAAAGGTTTTTTTTTATGATTACTTTCAAATTGCAGTCATGTGAGCATGTTTTAGTATATATGTCCTTTCCATGGNTTTAGGATCCTCTATAAGAATATGACATCATATCCCATAATTTCAAAATTTTTATTTTTGTGACGTCATCTCTTTAGGACTCTATTAAGACGAGAATTAGTAAAGTAGCATTAGTTCCGTTCATGTCATCTCGTCTTGTTTGGTTCATAATGTATAAACTCGCATATGCCTCTATTGGGCTTGTTAAGTCAACAAGGAATCAAGAAATCAATAAGAAATGGACCTCCTCAACAGAACAATGCAGACCCTGTACCTCAACAGAAAATATTCAGTGAACTGTAAACATATCTTGCAACAGAAATAAACCAAAACAAACCTTCCTAGTATAAAGCAAATGGAATTTTTTTTTATTTAGAGCACGGTGTCAGACACTCCAGGAACTCTACTCGGAAAAACCCAGAAAGGAAATAAAAAGTGTCTATGATCTCTAGTCGAAAGTCTTTCGTCAATTACTGATGTCTCCATTCCTTCCATGCACTTTCCCTAGTTCTTGTAAGTGCAAAACTGACAAAGCATTTTCTTGCAGTTTATACGTTTCGATGTACTAAAGATTGAGTGAATTTCGGCCGGGTTCAATTAGCGACACACACTGACCACAAGCCGCGGCATTTAAAGAACTAGAAAAAAAACATGGCTCACATCCTCTTGTGACATCACAAGTCTAGCGAATAATCTGCAGTGATCTTCGGTACATTTCCGATATCCCTTGATGTCGATTATTCACCAAGTTACTGACTGAAGCGAGGTAATTGACGCCCAAACAAGAAGAGCCTGCGAGCAGGCCAAAACAGGCCAGTTGCAAGCATTTCTAATTTTGCAAAATCGAATCCCCTGCACCCAAATTGCTGCCCATCGCTTAGATTTCGCTTAAAGCAACTAGAATAATTGTTGAATTCTCTAATTTTTTTTCAAGCTCGTAATACAAAGTCTTTTAATTTTGCCATCTTCGCTATTACCCAAGATGATCTCTACTCAACATGATCGTCTCTCACAGCTTTAGCTTGGACCACCGCTCGGACCAGTCGTTTCATCTGTAAACTTTTTTGAAATGTCTGGCAAAGCGATCGACTGATCTCATCCTTGTCCAATACTGTCGACTCGTACAAGTCGTATGGGTCGTAAAACAATGGTTTACGAGTCGTGCAGGTCGTGGAACAATGGTGACCTGCATATCATTAGTAAGACAGCTCTCCTACCTCGACAGTACGAACCGCACGACCGGTGTACGGGTCGTGAAACAATGGTTTGCGAGTCGTACAGTTGGTGAACTGCATACATAATTATATACGAATGATAAATGAGAGACAAGCATGCTAAGGACAATGTATGTTCCACGTTCTAAAAACGTGAATGCCCACAAAATGCGATGAATATTCTTCGTTGTCAAAGCGTGAGAGCCCTATAGCGCTATATACAGGGTATACTCTTCGGAGTCCTAAAGCGGGTGGGTCCAAAAGCACTAATTAGAATGTCTATTCCTCGTTCGAAACGTAAATTTCCAAAGCGCAAAACAAGATGAATATTTACGACCCGTACAAACCGTACGACCCGTACGGGTCGTGGATTTGCCTACACGCTCCAAGTCCCTCTAATGATAAGCAGTTCACCAACTGTACGACTCGTAAACTTTTGTTTCACGACCCGTACGAGTCGCACGGGTCGTGGACTTGTCTATACACCCTAAGTCTCTCTTAATGATATGCAGTTCACCAACTGTACGGCTCGTAAACCATTGTTTCACGACCCGTATGACTCGTACGAGTCGTGCGAAAAGGAAAATGCCATTATACGGATCGTATCAGTTCGTGTATATTGGAAAACCCTCAACGATGAAGGATCCAGTCAGATTGGCAGATTTTCAATATATAAAGATAAGCGTTTGCTAGTAGGGCATTATGCTCAACGTAAAAGCTCCCCAAAAAATAAAAATGAAATAATAATAAGAAAAAGAAAAAAAACAAAACAAAACAGAAAAAAAAGCAAGTTATCGCTCCGGCCAATTACAAAAGACCCAGACACTCCACTGAAGAAGCAAAGATTTGAAGGAAACTGATATGTCTCCGGCAGCCAACGCGAAGCGCGGGAAAACGTGTCCAAGCGATTCACCGTTACTTCTGATTGGCTTACAAGGTGGCGCAAGTGTTTTTTTTTGAGCCAATCTCCAAGGGCATTATTTAATGCAACATTAATGCAAAACCAAAGCAAACACGAATTACTTCAAACCTTCAAGTGCAAACTGCTCTATAATGAGTATTATGATCCTTGGCTGACTGAGTTCTCCTTAACTCTTTGCTAGAGGCTAACTTTGACGCTGGATAAAGAAGAAAATGGCAAGGCTCCATCTCCTGGTGCTCAACTCAGAGAGCGAATTATAAAAAGGGCTGCTTTAGAGTTTAAAGACGGAATGTATGGTATCCTTGAAAAATAACGAACAGTGTACCTATGTAGCTGTATTCCTGTTATGGGAGAAGATTTCGTTAGTCACATTCCTGCTGCCTTAACTGTGTAATTTTTAAATTTTCGAGTGGCACTTTTGAAATCCCATGCGTTTTCACTTACTGTTGCTTTGCACACAGTGTGGTCAACTTTGAAGTAGCTTGAAGTCACGGTTTGTAATGTTATGAGATGTCATTTCTTGTTTACCCATGCACATAACACATAAGAGCTCTTCAACTGAGATCTTGTTAAAGAATGTACAATTAAAACTTAGCATTGGCTTTGTGTTATCAATGCAAGTTAACCCATGTGAAGAAGAATGGGTCTATGTATTTAATGTGTTACCACACATCGAGATATGGCTGCAAAATCGCTACGTGGTATGGCTGTTGGTATGTCATTCATCTCACAACAACAACAAATAGGCCGTAAAACGTCATTCAAATTTCACACACTTCCTACTTTCTGCTGAAATTATGGATTTTGTTTTGAATATGCGAGATGGGCATTGAAAAAAAAAAAAAGCCTTTTTTTGTTGTGTTTCTACCACGCTTAACGAGCATTTACCATCATTTCATTTCCAATTTATGTATGTGCATGTGTTGACTAGCTGAGCCACATTAGCAAAGTGCAAGTTGTTGATTGAGTCTCGCGTTTCTTCTGATGGAACTTACTGGTAGTTAATGCCTTGTTGAAATAATTGATGTCTTTATAAGACTGTATACACCTTTTTCCAAATCATAATCAGCAAATTGGCAACTTTTGTCAGCAAATGTAGCTGTTTCTCATACTAATTCCCTGACAATGACTGCACACGCAATGGCTTCGAAATTGGTAGGCTTAATGTACAATTTATTTTCATCCTGGTTTGAAAGTGTCTTTAATCTAATTTTGTCAATAGCAATCTCCTTAACCGTTTGATATTTAGCAAATCTTGGAATAGGTATACCCATGTTAGCCAGTAATTATATTCCTGAAGGAATGAGTGTGGTTCTGCAAAGTGAAAACGGAGTTCTTGGCTTGGTAAGTTGATTGTAAAGTATGCGTGAATTTTGTTAACTTCCTGTTTTGTTAGGCATGGCTTTAACATGTAGATGTGTAAAGGAATATTTTAGCACCGTTTGAAGGATTTTGAAGCTCACGATTCGAGCACGATACTTTTTAGAAATTACTGCAGCTAAATGAAATCGTAAAAATTGATATGTAAGTAACTGGGACCGAGACTGAACTTTCAGTGATTTACCAGGTAGACTAACCAAAAATTCCGAAAATTTCAAAACTTGGACAAATGGTGCTAATTTCCTGGGAAAGTTTCCAGAAAAGCCAGAAATTGTTGAATTTTGCGATAAGCGAACCAATCAACCGAAAATTCCGAAAATTTTGGGAGGAAAGTCAAATGAGACGTAAATTCCCGCCAAGAAATTTCCAAAAATTTCGGTATACCTCGCACGGTTGTCTCTTTTTCCGGAAGTTCGGGAACTTTCTGTTCCATTTATCACTCGATATTTCGGGAAATTCAAACCATCGAATGAAAAGCGCCCTGTGTTTTTCAGACCTTAGCTTGAAAAACTTGTCAGATCACAGGGTGTCCAACAGTAATAGATTAGTTTCAGTTGGTAGAACGTTCAGTACTTGTCAATAAACAGGAACCTTACTCTTTGCAAAAATTGTAAGGCAGCTATTGCAACTACTAACTGGGTTGAACGCTATCAGTACAATTTTCCAGTGGTGGGTTACTTACAGTAATTTTCAAGTGTACCCAAAGAATTGTTTCAGCAAAAAGATCTGTTCGAAAACCCTCAGTTTCTCTGAAGTTAAATTGACACCTCGAATGAGAAATTTAATGCCTGTTGTTTTTCCGAGTGATACAACATATTATTAGGGAGCTTAAGAAAACCACGACGGCAACGGCAACAGGAACGTCGCTGAACAAAAGGTTTAATGAGCAAAAGAATAGCTGTGCACGTGCGTTAAATTCTTGGCACATTTCCTTGCCATCCTCTGCAAAACAACAACGTGAAATGACCAAATTCTGTGTTGTCTGAAGAACGTGAACCCCAACGGCAAATTTTTTAAATTTCTATTTCAAATTTATCGCTGTGTCCCAGATTCAGTTTCGTGATAGTTTTGACAGTGATAAACAAAGTAAATGACTTAAGAGTATCGTGAGATTCGTAGGTAAAATATAAATTCATTTTTTAATCGACGTTGTCCTTGGCGTCGCTGTCGTAGCTTCTTAAACTCCCTAATGTCGTTTTGGGCACGGTAAAAAAGGCCAGCTACCATTTTGAGAACTAAGAATAATCTGCTTCAAAATGCGGGTACATATATTAAGATACATGCAGTAAGCACAGGTTATTATATTGCTTGTGTTTATAGCCGATCTAACGGGAACTCTGATTGGCTAACTGAAGGGTATTTTTCTCCCGCAATGGGGACGGGCCGATTACGCGTCTGCAAAGACAAAGCACAAACCAATATAATAAACAACTTATTTACTTCGAACGTTCGGTCTTTACGGGAAGATCTCAAACCTCGACCTTGCCGGGTCTCGGTTTGAGATTTCCCCGTAAAGACCTCACTCTCTGTTGATAAGAAGTTATTAATGATCAACTTCACAGGGCCCTTTTCCAAGACCTGGAGAAGAAGATGCTGACCTCATCAATGCTGGTAGGTTGTTTTGCGATCTAAGCATTAATGAGATGGGGTCTGACATGTTAGACTCACTCAGACATCGATCGATTGATAAAACTTTACTTGAATATCATTAAGACCATTTATTCTTCCATAATCATTACATCAAAAACGACGCATTCCTAGGGTCTCATTTCGATCAAAAATGGGTGTCTTGGTAACCGATTTTACTGTTACTTAGGTATCCTAATTAAGGGGCGTGTTTAAAATACAAAATTTCGAAATGGCACTTAACAATGTGGGATACTGTTAACCCATACAATTACTGAGAGCTAACCACGTTCAAGTCAGTGATATTTAGGCTAAGCTGAGCGCTAATCGGCGCGCGATCACATGGGTGTCCAATTACAGGTATCTAATTTGAACTTTTTGTTATTGGATACCTGTAGTTGGATACCCACGTGATTCGCACGTCAATTACGCGCTCTGTAATGGCTTTCTTCGCAATGTTTCCTGCAGCTTTCAAAACTTATGAAAAGCGACACAGACGTTTTCGCTGAAAAGAAGTTCTCAGAAGACATTTTTCCCTAAATTTGTCATAGATACGATTAATTAATAATTGGACCTCGTGTCGTACAATTCAGGGAGTAATCGTGCTCGTATTTTCAAATTACCTCACGTTTCGCGCTCGTCCGATTTTGAAATTACTCGCGCGATTACTCCCTGAACTGCACTCGACTCGGTCCAATTACTATTGTTAACCGTAGTGACACTTTTTTCATTTCGCCATTTCGTGTTTTAAACACGCTCCTAGTTCAGAAAGTGACGCTTGGCTTTTTTTCAGGTAAAGAGACAGTGACCGTCCTTCCGGGTAGCGCTTATTTTTCCAGCGATGAATCATTTGTCATGATCAGAGGGTATGTACAGCCTCCATGTGATACATTAGACCTTGAACACATGCACCTGCACCAGCACTCCTAGACGGGATGGGCAACCTCTACCATGTATAAATGTAGATGTAAAAAGATAACTTACGCCTCTCTATAGGGGCCAAGATTTTTTTGTCTCTACCTTGTATCAATCGATAGACATTACTCTACTGGTAACCTCTTTATAATGGTCACCTTTCCACGACAGCCAGTTAATTATTACCAATTGAAAGGCTGACCGGTCAGCCTTTCAGTTGGTTTTATGCTTTATTTTACACTGCTGATCCTGATCTAAACCAAGACCCGGCTTCACTCCGCTGCTGTTTGTACAAGTGGTCCTTACATTACAGCTTACCCAGTTAATTATTACACCATTCTTATATATTGTAAGAGTTGTGCATTCTGTTCAACCATAAAATTTCGCAAACTTAAGAATTCCGGAAATCTCGGAAAAATCGCCATTCCTGTTTGCCCATTGCACTCAGCCGTAAAGTACTGTAGTGGTATTCGCAACTTCAAGGCTGTTGAAGTAATCTTATTCAGAGTGTCACGGCCATGGTAGTTTCTGGAGAGTCGAACCCAGGCCCTTCTGCACACTGGTCGGATGCTCTGACCACTAAGCTGCAAGAAGACTGGTGGCGAGCCAAGCTTTGCATACCGCTAGGATGAGTAATGACTGGTAATGTAAGACGATTGTTTTGTTTCATGTTCTACCCCGCTGTAGTGGTCACATCGATATAACAATCCTGGGAGCCATGCAAGTTTCACAGTTTGGAGACATCGCTAACTGGATGATCCCAGTAAGTACCTCATGTATGCATCACCGACTGGCCATCTGACTTTTGATTGAATGAATGTTCGATTGAATGTTAAATCGATTGACTGGCTATCTTACTGACTGACTGACTGATTGATTGATGGACTAATTGATTGATTGATTGATGGACTAATAGATAGATAGATTGAGTGATTGATTGATTGATTGATTGATTTACAGGGGAAGATGGTGAAAGGAATGGGTGGAGCTATGGACCTAGTCTCTAGCGAGTCCAAAGTTATTGTCACGATGGAACATTTGGCGAAGGTAAGTACTGTGAGGTTTATGACAGACAGCTCCATTTTCCATTCAAAACGATTTGATGTTTCTGATTTGAAGGTTAAAGTGTAAACCTGGCCTCTGATTCAAGCTGCGCGCCAGCAGGATTGCCACAAGTCAAGAAATGGTCACGGGGAAAAAATTCTTCAAGGTCAGGGAAGCGTCAGGGAATTGACATTTTGAAGAAAAGTCAGGGAGAATTGAAATTATAACACCATTGATTAAATACTATTTGACGGCTGGAAGAAAGAGGTTTATATGTATTCAGCTTAATACTGTATTTTAGAGAAACATGGTCTCTGAACAGAATTTTCGTGTTTCAGTTTGGTAATAATCTTCGTATTTGTATCCTTTTCTGTTCACAGGGAGATAAACACAAGATTTTAGAAAAGTGCACGCTTCCTTTGACGGGTACAAACTGTGTGGATATGATCATAACAGAAAAGGTACATGCTTTGCTGATAAATTGTCTTGATACTTTCTAATGGATCGTGAAATTTAACTCTTTGATGTTTTTCTTTTATAACTATAGTGCGTGTTTGAAGTAAGCAAAGAGAACGGCCTTGTACTTACCGAGTTATGGCCGGGCGTATCAATTCAAGACGTACAAGTCTCCACTGGTTGTTCCTTTGAAGTAAGCGCAGTTACTGTTGTTGTTGTTGTTGTT